GTTACAACCGTAACACATGAAGGCTCTGGTTTCGTTTATCCAAGTGCACGTGTAATGGCTTTCGGATGGGTGTGGCACATCCAGGCCTGCTATTCTCGGCTGATAACCAGTGGTGTCTCTTGGAGTTGAAATGTCTCTTCGTGCGCCACGTCTTCTACTTTGGCCGGGGAATCTTACCAGATGATGACGGCATTCCTTCAGTTGCTGTGTGGAGTAGGCTACTTTGTGAAGAAGTTGTCATACACGACGATCTGACACCAAATGCGTCTAATACTGCCATTGTATGGAAAGCCTGTATTTTTCTTCTTTTTGTGCTTTGGTCATTGTCATCCATTTTGCCCCTGGCACTACCAGATGTTGGCACTCAGGTCTAACCTTGAAAGGTCCTTCACCAGTTATTGACCTCTCAATGTTACATTCTTGTTCTTCAGACATTAACTTCAGCTGATCTTCTCCATTTTCATCTTGATACGGTTATTCATAGATTCTGGATCATTGTTGAAAAAAAAAGCTGTCGTCAAGCCCCACTTTTTCCCTCACACTGGAAATCATCCCGTCCTTCATGTCTTGCGCAACGTAGTTTAGAAAGTGCCAGTAAAATTCTGCATGGTCTACACTTGGTAATTGCCTTACATCCATTTCTCTTTTCGTCCAGACGGGATAAAACGATTCTGAAAGGGCATCAAAGTTGGTGGCGCAGGAGGGGTCGATAAGGCCAAGCTCTTTTGTTGCCTTGGAACCAAAAATGTCGTCTATAAAGATTCATTCACAAGCTTGGTCAACTCCAAGATCCCCCGACTTTCTTTGGATGTCTTGCTCTACGTGGCCTTTGCAGTACACCATGGTAGCAATGGGAAATGAAGAGGAAAACCCTTTCCTAAGAGCGACGTCTCTGTCTGAGCCAATCGCCAGGACGTTTGAGAGGTCAGCATTCAGCGACACAAGTAACGATAAGAAGTACTGGTATGTTTCTGCCTTCTCCTGCATATGAATCATTGTTGGCCCTAACAACGTTGGTGGCTTTCCATATTTCCTGTCTACCAAAAGGCTGTGCTTATACGTGGTTGGAGTAACGTAAAAGTTCCCAATGTTAAAGGTTGTGTTTATGCACAGTATCTGAGGGGGTAGAAAGTGCGCGGTACAAAATCACCCTACATCGTTCAGTTGCCTGTTGCTGGCCAATAGACATGCTGGTTCAGGACCAACTTGCACTCGTCTTATAAATGGTGCAGAATCGTTTGCTTCAACACAGGACATCTTTTTTTTTATTTTATGTTTATTGATAATCACGTTAAATAATTACATTTACAATACTACAAAAACAAAACCAAAAAAAACACTTTAACAAGAGACATTAACAGAGTAAAGCAAAAATAATTGTCAAATTATTACAGGGCTAAAAGAAATTATAAAAAAGTACAACAGGGCAATGAAATAATACGGAGTTAATACAGTTGACTTAAATAAGGCGTCAGTATCCACTTTCTTTTAAAGAGTTCTTTGTTGCTGATTTTTTCTTCTGTTTCATATTTAGCGATCATCTTGGCTCTAAACCCATAAATGTTTGGAAGGATTTGTTTGCTCCTGCAGTCCCACAAATAGAGTTTTCCAATAATTATAAAATAGTTCAGCAATTGAAGTAAATGGCAAGCATTTTCCGTCAAAATTCCAAAGAGCACATTTCCAAGCAGAGACGAATTCGTTGATTCAAAATAAGGCACCAATATAGTTCAAATTCAATCTAAAACTGTTTAGAACGTGAGCAGTGATAGAACAAATGGGTTAATGATTCAGGTTGATTGTCACAGAAAGTACATAAATCATTTGTTCTAAAACCTATTTTATACAACTTTGTATTTGTGTAAAGAATTGAGTTAATTACTTTGTACTGGAAGGTTTTAACATACGATTCGACAACAATAGAGTGTGGCAGCTTAAATATTTGCTTCAGATTGTCGCCGTTACAATGAAAGTTACTCTGTAATTTTTGAATAATGTTGGGCGGTTTAGCTTTTTCTCTGATGAGTTAGGTTGTAGTAATCCTTTGATTTCCCTTTCGTAACATCAAATTATTGTCACCCACCACAAATGTTGGAGAGTTTATGGAAGGATACCTGTCATAACTTCTAAATGATAATGGAATGGACCTGCGTAAGCCATCCCATTCTAAAATATTTGTTTGGCACATTTTTTTAGACAGTTGATTATAAGAATCAGTACTGTTCAGACTAAATGAAAGATCCTGAATGCAAATGACTCTCGCATTAACATAATATTTATAATAAACCGGCTTGTTTTCTACTTTTATTTCTTTGTTATTCCAGATTATCGTTTTCCAATCTTCTTCAGTGGCAAACGTTTCACGAAATTGCGACCACCATAACAAAAGCTCCTGATAAAATTGAGAAGGAATTGTGTAATCCGAGATATTGTAGTTGTGGTTGAAAAAGAACAATCCCCAACGGAGCTCAGTATGTGTTGTAGGTAGCTTTCCCAAGGT